GTATGCAAATTTCAGTATGCAGACAAAGGCAAAGGAAAAGACTAAGATGAAGACGATGAAGAAGAAGAAGGCAACGGCAAAGACGAAGATGAAGAAGAAGAAGGTGCCCATGCTGTGAGTTCAAACTTAAACAATTAAAAAAAAAAACCACCATTTTCCTGCCTGCCAAAAAAAAAAAAAAAACATGCATTTGAGCCAGACTCAATGATATATGCTTGCACTCCCAAACTTAGGGGGCTAAGGAGTTACAGGCCTGGACAACATAGCCAGACCCTGTCTCAGAGGAGAAGCATACACACACGTACACAATCTCCCAAGAGTCCAAAAGACTTTGTAATGGAAATAACATTTACATCTCAGCTAAAGAAACTCACATACTCAAAAGTATGTCATAAAAGCTGAAAAGGGAAACATATAACCTTAAATCTTCCTATTAGAAAACATTGGAAATCAATGACAATCTAGAAGTCCAATTTAATGAGGCACTGATCTTTTCCAGCTCAAATTTTGAATTTTCTTATACAAGTGTTGAGAGCAACAGCCAAGTCAAGATGGCACCTGACACTTTGCCAGGAGGAGTGGTTTGAGAAGTAACACCAGCGAGCTATTAAGAGGATGAAGATTCCTTAATGACTGACTGCTGTATCTAGATGATGTTAATTGAGTTAAGCTGTGTCTAACTACTAAGATGGTGAAGATTCCTTAATGACTGATTGCTGTAACTGGATGATGTTAATTGAGATAAGCTGTCTGTATTTACTTGGGTATATATACCTCCCGCTGTTTCCACTTTCACAAGTTGCTTGTCGCCCCACTACCACCGGCTACTTTGCACAGCCCAGCCAGACTGTGGCACAAGTTATGTTCAAAATCAAAAGGCTTTACCATATAGCTTACAAACACAGGGTTTCTCTCAGTTGTCCTGAACCATTCAAAAGAATGAGTGATAATCTCCTACTTTCTCACATTTATAATGTCTCTACAGTATGAGACTTCACAAAATGAGACTTCACAAATTGCATTAGTTCAGAAAAAGTCTTGCAGAGATTCCCTTACTCCTTACATTTATATGTTGTCCCTTGTGTGAATGTTCACATCTTCAAAAGTAGGCTGTACAAATAAAGGCTTGCCACATTCCTTACATTAATATGGTTTTCCTCCAGTATGGCTAATCACATGTATCCCAAAGGATGAGGGGGAACTGAAAGCTCTTCCACACTCCACACATTCAAAGGGTTTTTCTCAAGTGTGCATTCTAGCATGCATAGTCAGGGATGAAGAATGTCGAAATGCCTTCCCACATTCCTTACATTCATAGGGTTTTCCCTCAGTGTGGATTCTCATATGGATACTAAGAGCTGAGAAACAAATAAATGCTTTCCCACATTTTTTACATTCATAAGGTTTCTCTCCAGTGTGAGTTCTTCTATRCACTGTAAGATGGGAAGAACTACTGAAGGCTTTCCCACATTCCTTACATTCATATGGTTTCTCTCCAGTATGGCTTCTAACATGTATCCCAAAGGATGAGGGAGAACTGAAAGCTCTTCCACACTCCAGACATTCAAAGGGTTTTTCTCCGGTATGCAGTCTTGCATGTATAGTAAGGGATGAAGAATGTCGAAATGCCTTCCCACATTCCTTACATTCATAGGGTTTTTCCTCAGTGTGGGATCTCACGTGGATACTAAGAGCTGAGAAACGAATAAAGGCTTTCCCACATTTTTTACATTCATAAGGTTTCTCTCCAGTGTGAGTTCTTCTATGCACTGTAAGATAGTAAGAACTAATGAAGGCTTTCCCACATTCCTTACATTCATATGGTTTATCTCCAGTATGGATTTTCACATGTCTCCGAAAGGATGAGGCAGAACTGAAAGCTCTTCCACACTCCAGACATTCAAAGGGTTTTTCTCCAGTGTGCATTCTTGCATGTATAGTAAGGTATGAAGAATGTCGAAATGCCTTCCCACATTCCTTACATTCATAGGGTTTTTCCTCAGTGTGAGTTCTCAAGTGGCTACTAAGACCTGACCAACGAATAAAGGCTTTCCCACATTTTTTACATTCATAAGGTTTCTCTCCAGTGTGAGTTCTTCTATGTACTGTAAGATGGGAAGAACTACTGAAGGTTTTCCCACATTCCTTACATTCATATGGTTTCTCTCCAGTATGGCTTCTCACATGTATCCCAAAGGATGAGGGAGTACGGAAAGCTCTTCCACACTCCAGACATTCAAAGGGTTTTTCTCCAGTATGCAGTCTTGCATGTATAGTAAGGGATGAAGAATGTCGAAATGCCTTCCCACATTCCTTACACTCATAAGGCTTTTCTCCACTGTGAGTTCTTAGGTGTTCAGTGAGGGATGAGGAATGACTATAGGCCTTCCCACACTCCTTACATTCATATTGCACCTTACCATTGTGATCTCTCACGTGTGCTTTAAAGGAAGAGGGACAACTGAAGGCCTTCCCACATTCCTTACATTCATAGTTTGCCTTTTCACTATGAATTTTTATATGTGCTCTGAACATGGAGGAACAATTGAAGGCCTTTATACATTCCTTACATTCATATGGTTTTTCTCCATTGTTGTCTTGAAGAGCAACTAATTCCTTAGTATTAAGTAGAGACTCAAACCCTGAAACAAAAAAATAAAAGAAAATAAAGTTACCTATGAGCAAAGGACTTTGAGCAGTGCAGCTGTTTCAGACTTCATTATTAATAGACACAAGGATCAAAAGTAAAACAGTTCACTAAAAATTATTTCCATGAAACCATAGTATAGTAACATTACCATAGTATGGTAACACATGCTTGTAATCTCAGCTATTTGGGAGGCTGAGATAGGAGGCTCACAAGTTCAAGGACAGCCTCAACAACTTAGAACCATTCTCAAAATTAAAAAGGGTATAGGATATATAGGTATGGGATATAAGTCAGTGGTAAAGCACTCCTGGGTTCCCCAGTTCTGAAAAATAAAAATAGTTCTATGAAGAATGAAAGTGATGGTAACATGACCAGAAGAAATTATTGGGATCAGAGACATGAAAAATTGGGCTTCATATGAATCAAAATGCATTCTGCTATCATGTATAACTAATTAGAACAAATAAATGAATAATTTTTTAAAAAAAGAAAGTTTATGTTAAAATTTTTCTGTTAACTTGATATTTCATATTAGTATAGAAAATATATTAAAATTTTTCATTAATAATTTTTTCAAAAATTACTAGGCAAGGAAAACAGAAAGGATAAAATACACATACCAAAAACAAACTTTAAAAAAGCAAATATGGAGATCTTTGACAAGAACAAGGAAAGTATGAGAGGACAGATAAACAGTCAAAATAGTCCTCTGAGGCATCTGTGGATAATGAGCCTCCTCAGACAAAACAAACTTTTGCTTTATTTCTATTTTATTTTTTTCTCCTCCCAGGCCAGTTTCTCCCAGGGATTCTTGCCTTCCTGGTGCTGCTCCATACAGATGCCCTGGATAAGTTCTTTCTTCACTGTCTGCAGTTCCTCCTCTTGTTCCCACTGGGATATCAGATTGGGTGTGAGTACTGAGTATCCTGCACACAAGGAAAGGAATATCATGAAGGAAATCAATGAAGAATCACAAATATCTTTCCATAAGATTGGGTCAAACTTTGGTCTTATGATACTGTAAAGACAGAGAAGGATGAGTTTAACTAAAATAAAATGTCAAATCCATTGAAGAAAAAAAAAGGCAGGRCAAGAAGGGAGAGGAAAGAAGGAAAAAAAGAAAAATAGAGAAGGTAAAAGAAAAAGCTGAGATGTGAGGGGAAAGGCAGCCTCTAATGTGAARAACTGATCTGAATCAGACATGGTGACACAAGCCTATAATCCCARGGTGRGATTGGGAGGCTGGAGGATCATGAAGTCAAGGCCAACCTCAGCAACTTAGCAAGATCCTGTTTCAAAGCAAAGAAAAACAAAATTTTAAAGGATTGGGGATGTAGCTCGTGGTAAAGTGCCCCTAGGTGTTCACTTCCCAGCACAGAAAGACAAGGAAAAAAACATTGATCTGGGCTGGAATTGTAGTTCAGTGGTAGAGCACTTGCCTAGTATGTGCAAGGTGCTGAGATTCATCCTCAGCACCACATAAAAATAAATAAAATAAAGGTGTAAAAAATTATATAAAAAAATGAAAGATTGACGTAAATTCACAGTGGAACCTCAATATTTTTATAAGCTGACCTGACACAGCCAGAATATTTTTTATTTATTTTTAATATTCTTTTAGTTGTTGTTGGACATAATACTTTTATTTTATCAGGTTGAACACGGTTTCACCAAAAGTCATGTCCAAATATATCAATGAAACAGAGTAGAGAGCACAGACACAGATCTACATAAGTTGGCCCTCTATATCTGTGAATTCAAGCAACCATGGATAGAAAATACAATAGGAAAAAATTACATCTGTATTAAGCATGTATTTTTTTGTGCTTACGTGCAAATCAATACAGTACAAAAGTAATAATGAATAAGATAGGATAGATAGTAAAACAGAAAGGCAGTTAAGAAAATGCACTCCCCCATAAGAAAAAAGAGAGAGAGAGAGAGAGAGAGAGAGAGAGAGAGAGAGAGACTTTAAATGAAGAGGCTATGTCACAAAACTAACCTATAGAAAACATTCCAAACATTACAGCCAACTTCTTTGTCCCAGGTGGCAGGAAAAAGGAGGTAGAGCCGACCTGAGTGAAGACTACAGACTCAAGGCCTAACTAATGAGAATGTCACAGGCCAAACCAAGAGCCTTGGCACTTTTTCAAGACATGATTAGCATAGATACTGACCAACACCCTTAGTATCTTTCCAAGACCTGATTAGCACAGATATTGATGAATGCCTCATACAGTAGCTATTTAAGTCCCTAGACTACTACACTTAAGTGGAAACCTACTCTCAAGTTCCCCTCTCAGCCCCTGAGAGTTCTGCTTCTTTTCTTTTCAGTTACAGAAATACTACACCTTCACTCTCAAATTCTGTTGTCTGTGGATTTGTCTTCAAATCTGTGAATAAGCACCTGGAAAAAAAAATGGCAGCCAGCTGCTGAGATCTGCCATTGAGAGCTACAACACACTGCTCAGTAATACTGAAGAAGAGTCAGGTTCTGCCAGCTCTGACCAATTGATCTGACCAGACAGGCATTTCCCTGCTGTGACTAGTTGCAATACTAAAATGGGCTCTCTCAGTTGCAGAGACATGTAACTTATGGGGACCTACAGATCAGCAGAGTGGAGAATCTGGTTTCATTTCAAACTCCAGTTTCAATTACATAGCACTTACATTTTGTCAGGCACTAAACATAATCAAGAGATGATGTAAAGTATATGAGAGCTTAGGCTGTATACCAGGGAATTTTAATTAARAGATTTTGACCATCCACAGATGTAGGTCTCTGGGAGATACTAGTATCAAATCCCTACAGACCAAGCAATAACTATGTAGTCAAGTGACCTTTGACAAAGAATTGACAGCAACACAATAGAGAAAAGGTAGCCTTTTCCACAAATGCTGTTAGAACATGGGACATACCCACATAAAATACCCTTCACAAACATTAATTTAAAATGGATCATAGATATAAATGTAAAACATAAAACTAGAAAAATTGTACAAGATACAAGGAGAAAATCTAGATGACTTTGGATTTGGCTATAACTTTTTTGATACTATATTAAAGGTATGATCCATGAGAAAGAGATTGATACAATACACACCATTAAAATTAAAATTCCTGCTCTGTGAAAGAAAATATCTAGAGAAAGAAAGATAAGCTATGCCTAAAAGAAGACATTTGCAAGAAATTTCTCTGGTAAGAGGATGTTTCACAAAGATTTATCTGATAAGAAACAGTTTTCCTGTTCTTTACACAAAGAATGCTTTTAAAAATATATATATTTATTTCTTAGTTGCACACAATACCTTTTTTAGTTTACTTATTTTTAATGTGGTTCTGGGGATTGAATCAGGGCCTCACACATGTGAAGCAAGCGCTCTACCACTGAGCAATAACCCCAGCCCAGAATGCTTTTTTTTTTTTTTACATATTTTTATTAGTGTATTATCACATACATAATATTGCAATTCATTTGACACAACCATACATGCATGGAATTAATGTGCTCCATTTCAATTCCCAGTACTTCTCCTTTCCTTTCCCTCCTCCCTTCCCCTGTCCCCTTCCTCTCCTCTACTGATCTTCCTTCTATTTACCTCCTGTTTTAATTCCTGCTTTATAGATACACACAATAGTGAAAGTCACTGTGGTATATTCCTATATGTGCACAGCACGATATGGCCAGTGCACATTGCAGTCCCCTCTTTACCTCTTCCTCCTTCCTTCCCATCTGCCTCCTACCTATCCTACCTTTTGATTTTCATAGGCACCCTCTGCCTGTTTCCCTCTTACTTTGCTCAAGCTTCAACACACAAGAAAAAACATTGGACGCTTGACTCTCTGAATATGGGTTATTTCACTTAACATGATATTTTCCATTTCCATCCTTTACCAGCAAATGCCATAATTTCATTCTTCTTTATGGAAGAATAAAAACCCATGTGTCAATTGCTGCTGCCTCTGATTCTACTGCTGCCAGCCTGAGGTCGCCTGGAGGTCTTCTTTCTGGGCTGCTGCAGAAGCCAATGCTGTGCCCGGAGGTCTCCTTTCTGGAAAGGGCCTGGTTACCCCTGAGTCGATTCTGATGCTACCTCCATGGTCACTGCCACTGAACTGGAAGTCTCCTTTACTCAACCGCCACCTGCACCACTACCGCCATTGCTGTTGCCTCTGATTTCCCTGCTGCTACACTGAGACGACCTGGAGGTGTTCTTTCTGTGTGCTGCTGCCACAGAAAAAACTATGGATGCAACTGAAGGCCACATTGCTGCTGACCCCTGGAGATCACCTGGTGATGCTGCCCCCACAGCTGCAGTTGTAACTGCCAATGCAGCCACCACTACTGCTGCTACCACGGCCTAGAGGACTGCTGTAGGGGAGATTCCAGGTTTGGTTGCATGTGGCTGCACCCATTTTGGGATACCAGCCAGGGCCTGGGACCTGGCTGTCAGCAGGTTTACCACCACAAGGCCCTCTGTCTGGGGACTCCAATCAGGACCTGCAGGTCCAGTGTTGGGTTACCTGTGGGTATGGAGGACCCTGGGGTCTTCCTGCTGAGAGTGCTAGTGGCCTGAGTATTGCTGCTGCATCTCTTGCTGTTGCTCCTTTGCATGAGTGTATTCCTCATGGTCTCTCAGCAACTAGGAGCAGCAATGAGGTCTTAGGACTACAAATGGCAGAGCCTGAGGTATTTGAAACCCAGGTTTGTAGGCTACAGACTAGGTTTGCAAGGGCCGATCTGGGTTTGGTGATCCTGAGAGACGTCAGAGTCAGAGCTGACAAACTGTTGAACACTGACAGAGACAGTTCAACTTTCCAGCAAGATTTATTTTATTTTTTGATTCACTAATCTCTCTACCATATTTGGAACAGGTGCCTTTTATGCTATTTTCTTTCCAACTTCTCTCCAATCAACAGCCAATCTCTGTCAGCTCCTCTTCCACTCTTCCTGTGAATTTTTACTTCTAGCTTCTCTCTTCCTCCCTCACAAATATTACATACTACACTATTCTGTTCTCTCATCCACCCTTTGAAATAGTAAACCAGTTTAACAAAATTTCTCTTTATACTATAGGTAGTTATTAAATTCATCATTTTGGTTTAATGCGAGAAAGCAGTAGTTGCCTTAGTGGGGGCTATTAGGTTTAAGGCTACATATTATATGCTGAGTAATATTGATATTTGTCTCACCATTAAACATGAGAATCTGGAAACCTTCACACACCTAGACACTATAAGTCTGCAGGGTAGATTTTATGCTGCCTTAGATCCATACTTCTACATGGGAAAACACACTAACAACATGAAAGAAACAAGGAAATAAAGAGCCCCAAACAAACCAAGATGCATCAACAACAGAAGCCACTGATAACACAGTAGAAAAAATGTCCAAGAAGGAGTTCAGATTGCATATAGTTAAATTGATATAAAGAGTTAGAGATCATGAAAAAAAAAAACAAGCAGAAATCCATAAAATGAAGGAATCAGTAAACCAAAGTATAAATTCAATAAAAAGCATCACCAACAGAGTAGATCACTTGGAAGACAGAACCTCAGACAATGAAGAAAAAAATATATAATCTTAAAAGTAGAGTTGCCCATGAAGGGAAGATGGTAAAAAAACATGAACACAACATCCAAGAATTAAGGGATAACATGAAAAGACCAGATTTAAGAATCATTAAAATAGATGAAGGAGCAGAGATACAAACCAAAGGAATGCATAATTTTTAAATGATATAATAGTAAACACTTGCCCAATCTAAAGAACGGAACAGAAAAGTCAAATACAAGAGGCTTTTAGGACCCCCAAATGTACAATTTTACAGCAGACCCACACCAAGACACATTATGCTAGAATGACTAACACAGAGAATAAGGAGAAAATCTTAAAGGCATGAGAGAAAAAAATCAAATTACATATAGAGGGAAACCAATTCAGATCTCAACTGATTTTTCAGCCCAGAAACTCAAAGCTAGGAGGCCCTGGAATAAAATATTTCAAGCTCTGAAAGAAAATGGATGCCAAGCAATAATTTTATAACCAACAAAATTAAGTTTCAGATTTGAATACGAAATTAACACATTCCACAATAAACAAAAATTAAAAGAATTCACAATTAGAAAGTCTATATTACAGCGCATTCTCAACAAAATATTCCATGAGGATGAAGTGGGGGAAAAAAAGTGAAAACCAGCAAAAGGTGGATCTACACTAAAACAACACTCAACCAAATGAGAATCTAAGACAAATCAAAAACCAGAAAAAAATCAAAATGATAGGGAATACAAAATCAGATCACAATAATAACCTTGAATGTTAATGGCCTAAACTCATCTATCAAAAGACATAGACTGGCAGATTTTATTAAAAAGCAAGACCCAGCAATATGCTGTCTTGAAGAGACTCACCTCATGAGCAAAGACATCCACAGACTGAAGGTAAAAGGATGGGGAAAACCTTATCACTCAAATGGATTGTATAAAAAAGCAGAGGTTTCCATTCTCATCTCAAGATAAGTAGACTTCAAACCAAAGTTAATCAGAAGAGATTATATATACTTCCCTTAAGAGGACATTTCATACCTCTTAAGGAAAGTATATATAAGAAGGACATAACAATTACAAATATTCATGCCCCAAACAATGGAGCATCTATGTACATCAAACAAATGTATCTCAATTTCAAGAGTCAAATAGACCATAATATAGTAATACTGGGTGACCTTAACATACCTCTCTCACTATGGGACAGATCTTCCAAAACAAAAAATAATAAGGAAACTATAGAACTAAATAATACAATCAATAATTTAGACTTAACAGATATATATAGAATATTTCATTCATCAACAAGCAAATATACTTTCTTCTCAGCAGCATATGGCTCCTTCTCTAAAACAGACTATAGCTTATGCCACAAAGCTAATCTTAGTAAATAAAAAAATCAGAGATAATGTCTTGCATTCTATGAAACCACATGGAATGAAATTAGAAATGAACAATAAAATAAAAAATAGAAGTAACAAATGGAGACTAAGTAATACACAATTGAATGATGATTTCAAGAATGAAATAAAAAAATTCTTAGAGGTAAATGAGAACACTGATAATCATATCAAAATCTCTGTGACACTATGAAGTCAGTACTCAGAAAAAAGTTTATTGCATCGAACGCATACATTAAAAGAATAAAAAGTCAACAAATAAATCACCTAACACTACATCTCAAAGCCCTAGGAAAAGAAAAAACGAATCAACACCAAAAGCAGAAGATAGGAAATAATTAAAATCAGAGCTGAAATTAATGAAATTGAAACAATTGGAAAAACTGAAAAAACATAAAGTTGGTTCTTTGAAAAAACTAAAAAATAGATAAACCCCTGGCCATGCTAAGAAAGAGAAAACTGCAAATTACATACAAGATGAAGAAAAAAATATCACAATGGAAACATCTGAAATACAGAAGATAATTACAAACTATTTTGAGAATTTATAATCTAATAAAATAGAAGATATTAAAGATATCAACAAA